CCTGCTGGTTGTAATGGGGACCTGGTGACCCTAAGATGCCACAGTATTCTGCAGCTCCCTAATAAAAAGCTTTGGGGACTCTTATCCCTCTAGCTATCCTGCTACATTTTATAATGAAACCAGCCCTGTGACTAAAATAAACATTTGTTGTCACATTATATTTGTTAACTATGAAAACAGAAAATCATGATTTTATCTCTTATAAAGCTGAAAAAGTATATACAACATAAAGAGCAGAATTTATTTAAAAGGATATGGTGTCGTTATAATGTCTAAAATATCCAGTTTAAGCTTATGTTACTGCATTGAAAGTTTAGGTTAGGTTACGTTCATGTGTTTAATTATATGGTTCAATTCACAACATACTAGAGTACATCTACCACTGCTCTGACTTAAGCCAACCCAAAACGTGTCAGCCAGTCACATTATGGTACTATTGGTTAAGATGGGACATATAGCTGTGACAAAAGCATGAGGTACTGAACTCACAGCTGAAACAAAACTAAACATGTACACCCACCGGCTGCTGCTATCACATCTGTTTTGCCAGAATCCATGTTTTCCTCTTTGAAAGAAAAACAGCAAGACCATAAAAGTGTGAGTTGTGCATTTCCTTGTGGTTTCTGGTGATATTTCCATTTCTTACTTTGAATGGCTAAGCTTAAACTTGTTTAGACCGACACTAGGTGTCACCTCACCCAGTCATTCTGGAAGGTTCTGCTGAATGAAACTCCTTTCTTAAACGGATTCAATAGTCTCAGGTTGGTAATGTGTAGAGCTAGACCCTACTGAATTTAAACCATCTGGCTTGCCAGGTTAATAATAAAGATGAAAACAATCCCTTTAATTTTTTATTTTTGATCAGCATCATGAGCGAAGCTTTCTCTGTCATTATCAATCTGCATGATATTCAGTCCAGTCCTATGTTATAATCACCCAACACCATGGCCGCAGGAATTGGGAGTTTTAGTGGCAAGAGGGAAATTTTTAATAAATGCAATAAAAATACTTTGCACAGTTTATAAATTTGTGCAAAGTATTTTGCCTTTTATTTTACTATTTCATGTATTTGGATTTTAATTAAATTATTTAGAGGCCTAATCAACACAAGTTCACAGAAGTTACATTGTCAAGGCAACGTCAAGCAAGCTAGTGGTCACAGAGAAAAGAGGTATCCCGCTTGCGGCAGCAGGCTAGCAAATTTACATAGTCTAATGACAGAAATGAGAAGGAAATAATATCCATCTCCCAATTTTTTAGTCAGGGGTGCGGTGGGGCTGGTGCCTAACTCCTGCAGTCTATGTGCGTGAAGCAGGGTAAACCCTACATAGACCGTACATAGACTGCCGCCAGTCTGTAGCAGGGCAACAGAGAGACACATAGACATACAACCATGCACACACACACTCTCACATAAGGACAATTTAGAGAAGCCAATTAACCTAACAATCATTTTTGGACTGTGGGAGGAAGCTTGAGTACCTGGAGAGAACCTACACATGCACAGGGAGAACACCAAACTCTAAGCAGAAAGACCCCTTGCCGGAAATTGAACCAAAAACCTTCTTGCTGCAAGGCAACAGTACTACAAACTGCCAACCTCATAGAGTTCCTACATACAGTATGTTATTCTAACTCATAGTAATGTCATCATTTGTTTTGTGATGTTCCTTTCAGGAGCCCGAAGACAACATCAAAGTGACAGAGGAACCTCTACCGAGTTGCTGTCTTGTTTTAGCAGGAGATGCAGGAGCTGGAAAGTCCAGCTTTCTGTTGCGGCTGACGCTCAATGAATTTAGAGCCAACATTCAGACCACACTGGGTGGGTAACAGTACACATGTCGCCTAAAGGTGTTGTTCCTCACTTACAGGTGGATTCCACTCAAAAATAAAATGGGAAGGTCTTAAAATGGAGTCAATATAGAGTTGAATACTCTTACTTAATGGGCAAAATTCGCAACAGCTTATTTAGAAAATTTATCTATTTGATTTCTAGGTTATTTAAAATGATTTGTTTTTGCTCCCAGGTATTGATTTCCAGATGAAGAGGATGCATGTGGATGGAGAGATGATGAACCTGGAAATCTGGGACACAGCTGGTCAGGAGAGGTATACGTCTTCTTAGAAAGACATTTAGCAAGAAAGTAGCATGGAACATGGAAAAATGGAGCACCAGTTTAGTGTAAACACTGACTCAAATGGAAAATTGACAATGCTCAAAAAAGGGATGATTTTTTCCTTTGACTCTAGGTTCCGTAGCATTGGAAGGACCTTTTTCCGTAAAGCTCAAGGAGTTCTGCTGCTTTATGATATTTCTTCAGAGAGGAGCTTTCTAAACATCAGGGAGTGGGTGGATCAGATTCAGGTAACATCGCTGCTAATGAGAAATAAATAAATACCACGTGTAGTTGTAATATATACTATGTCCCTACCTATATTTTTCTGAAGGAGTCCGCTGATGAGAAAATCCCCTTATGTGTTGTTGGAAATAAAGTGGATCTACGGGATCAACTTCCTGCAGAATGCTGTGTTAGCAGCTCAGAAGGAGAAAAGCTAGCCAAAGTAGGTGTTGCTTTCAGCTGGTGGTGAAAGTTTTTATAAATATGTCCATGCTCGAGGTGTTGGAGTAAACAGACCATACATGGGGATGGTAATGCTTTGTTTTTTCCTTTGCTTGGCAGAGGTACGATGCCTTGTTCTGTGAAACGAGTGCCAAAGCAGGAACGAACATTGTTGAGGCTGTGCTTCATCTAGCACGGTAAGAATTATTTTTTTTTCATATTTTTGAGCCATACAGGAGCATAACTACTAATTATAATTGAATTAAAGAAATTAAATTTGGACAATCTTCTGAAGCTACGTTCACATTGCAGGCCTTAATGCTCATTTCTGATTTTCTTGTGAAATCGGATTGATTTGCGTGGTCGTTCTCATTTCCAAAAACATGTGATCTCCTGTCTGAACTGCTCTCATATAGCTGAAGTATCCACCACCAGTGGTGGACGCAATGACATCACAAGTAGAGATCGCGGTCAGTGTTTGTGGAAGTAAAGAAAGATGGTAAAGCGGAAGTGCATCTATATATCAAATATCACATGGTTCCGATAAGACCCATTGAGTTTGCCCTGAAGAGAGCTGTCAAAATCAAAAAATTTCTCTCCATTGATGGAACTCTGCAATATAATCTGCCATGGTTGTCGGTTTCTTCTCCCGCATCCATGTAGCAGGTTGCTGAATAGTGACCATTGTCTAGTTATAATGACGTACATGTTGGATGAATGCGACCTGGCCGTACAGACACCAGCCACATTTGAAAAGATCAGATACATGTCTCATTTAGGAGCACATAGCCAAGTGGCCTGGGTCGCATTGGAAAAATCAGATCCTACAGTAGTTGTTTAGACTGTTATGAAAAGATAAGATACAGGTCAGATATTGGCTAAAAAAATCAGATTTAGGTCATTTCAGGCTGCAGCGTGAAGGTAGCCTAGGAGTTAAAATGATTTTCTACAGTATATAGATTAAGTATGAAAATCTTTGAGAATTTGATACTTTTGTTATTTTTATTTAATAACAATGACTTGGAAGTAAAAATAAATCCATGTTTGCTCATGAAACATTTTTCATTGGCTTCATCTGATGATCTTATTTTCTAATTCAAAAATATCAGCCTACTTAAAAGTGTGTCCAAGCTTGGTTTGGCCTCCTTTTGCATGAATCATTGTAAAAATGCAACATGGCATACTTGTCAAGTTCTTAATTTGTACATACAGGAAATGGTACGACATCCACTGCCAACCCTTTAAGTTCCAGTATCAATTATATTTCAAGACACAAGAAATTAAAACTAAACACGTGTCAAGCAACTGCAAACTAGAATAGGGTGATCAGATTTTGACTTGCAATGCTTGCGACAATTCCATTTGGAGAGGCAGATCATGTTAAGACTTGACAGCTATGACATGCTGTGGCATTGATCAGCCTTACTTATTTTAGTCCATCCTAAAAGTTGAAGCATTCTATGAACTGCCAGCCTCATTAGTAATGGCTTGTGGTAGCTTACCTACCTTGTGAAAACTGTCAATACGTTTTATTTGCTATATTTCTTTGAGAAATCAGTTTTATTACTCCATTATAAAGACATTTTTCACCAAACAGAATTTTTCAATTTATAATAATTAAGAGGAACAAATATAAACTTACAATATATTAAACCGTGTGTATTTAACCTTCATAAATGTATTTCAGTTTCTATTAAGATATACATTTTATCTTTAGGACAAATGTTAAGTTTTTAAGATGAACCGCTGACCCTTTATTTGCTTTTCTACAGGGAAGTAAAGAAAAATGGCAAACTGAGACGGCCATCGGAGTCTCAGGTCAAACTGAATGAGACTCTCTCAAAGAAGGCTTACAAAGGTTGCTGTGGACAGTAAAAAACAAACAAACAACAGACAACAGCTGCTTTTTTAAAAGGAAAGAACACACTCCTTTTTTGTCTTTTTTTTAAACATTTAATCTGTGTCACCTCTAAACTGTAAACATAGTTTCATGAAGGGTTACTCTTTGGTCAAAATGAAGGAAAACTGTAAATATACATATTGAACCGAAATCATCTAATTATCCAAAAATATATAACATTTTGTATTTACTTGGAAATGGATGAGCATTATTGATAACAAGGTCAAATTCAGCTTAAATATATTTTATAATTTTAACAGACTTTTTTTTTTTTTATGTCTGTTTCTTTTTCCATTTTATTTTTTTTTTATCAGGACGCTCGTCCTAACAGAGTTTCATCCCTTTTTGTGGGATTATATTTAAAGAATAACACATCTTTTTTAATATTTTACGATGAAGTTACTTTTTTTCTTAAACCTATGATAATTTTGGAGCACTGATCAAATGTATTTATGTACTATTGTACCCTTTTCACCCCTTTAAATATATATATACTGCATATATATATATATATATATTTTTTTTTTTTTTTGCTGAAATAAAGGCAATCCCTCCCCCAAATAAAACTGACTGCAAATAACTTCTGCAAACTTGCATTGATCGACACAAATCTATTTGTGCAAAATTTCACTCTGTTCTAAACTCTGCTTTTTACAAAAAAAACCTCTCAAAATCACAGGTTCAAAGCTCCGGTGCTGCTTTTGCATTGGAGATCCAATGAAAACCAGTCGGTTCCAGTGGTTCAGAGATGTTTCCATCCCGCTGAGGATTTTCAGTTTCTTGCAGTCAAAATCATGGATGTAACCAAGCTGCCCAAGGCCACCACCAGAGCTCCCAGTATGAACTTCCAGGAAATTCCCTGAAAACATAAAGGGAAGTGGTGTGAATCAATTTCTTTGACACAAAGACAAATGAAAGAATTGAGTTGTGCATATAGCTAAAGTCAGTTATTTACGTACACTGCATAAAAAGACACAAAAATATTCATCTTTCTTTCTTGATATCAAATCAAACTGAACGTCACCTGTGTTATGCTGCGAATGATTACAACAATTTGCTAAATGCCAGAATGACAGACATTTTTTGGACATAATTTTTTTCATACCTTCATTTTTCACTAACTTTTTTCCAACTTTGGCTAATTTTTCTACCAACAGGAAAGTGAGTAAATTGGATCAGTTGATCTCCTTTTTGCTTACATCTTATTTTCAGGAGGCGACTCCAAATAATTAGATTTTATTATACCACTTTGAGACCAATTCAGCTGTATGATTACTACATGTTACATTTTTCATTTGGAAGACCCATTTCTGCACTCGCTGCTATCTTTAGATTTTTTGAGGTCCTATCCCTATAATCACATCTATTTTTTCATAAATCTGCCCCAGACTCTACTACGGCAAACCCACCCCCACAACATAATAGGACCACCTCCATTCATCATAGTTTGGATGGTGCTCTCAGTAATGGTATTTAGGCCAATTTCTCTATCTTTAGCAATGTCTTGGAGTTCATTCACAAACTGTAATCTAGATTCTTATATTGCTTTTTTTTTTTTTTTTTTTTTAACATAGCTTTACACTCACAGCCATATGCAGCACCTTAACGGTATTTTGATTTTGGTCTGTGGTTACTACATACATTTGGAGGGGTGTGTTGGGCTAGTGGTTAGAGCAGTGTGCTTGTGCTCTGAGAAGGATTCAAGTATCCGGTTCGATCCCCACACTGCTCCCTGGGCGCTGCACAGTGGCAGCCCAATGCTCCGCAAAGGGGATGGGTTAAATGCAGAGAGTTAATTTATCCATTGTGGGATCAATAAAGTCCAATTTCTATTTTTTTTTTTTTCATTTCACACCAACAAACATACATTTCTTGGACACAGAATCTGAAAGATCTGATCTCTTGACTTTCCCATGATGTATATAATTGCCAATAATTGTGTTAAACTATTAGCCTGTGAACACCTGAATGCATCTAGATACTTGAGCTCCTCAGATCTCTTCTTCATATCTTGACTTGCTTCTTTTGACTTGTTCACATTGTGATAAATGTGGACAATGTGTCTGAGGGGAAGCCTAAATAGCATTGTAAGATATGTCTTTAATTAATCTAAATGTTTTTTATTAACCTATCAGAAACTAACAAACAAAGACATCCTCTTCTCAGATTTTCAAAACTAGAGGCAAGGCATTGTTTTACTGAAATATGTAAACTTATGAATTCAAACCAAGTACAAACACATTTTCCATCATTCTTGCAGTTAGTTTTTTGTACTCCCAACCAACCTAAAACAGAAAAAATATAGTCTGCATTGTCATTACCCACTTCTTGCAAGGTCATGGGGAGGGGGCTTTGAATCTGTCATTGGCCAGCAGGCAGCCAATCACCAGGCTTCTTCTTGCACAGTGTATGTAAATATCAGTAAATACCTGGTTCCTACTGCAAGTAACGGCTTACTGATGACTTTTTCTTAGAAGGAATGAGGAATGGTGTGATATCATCTCCAAGCACCTTTGCTGGTTTGACTCTCCACTGCTGCGTGTCTTGGCCTCCTGATTGTCTTTTGACGAGTTTGGATAATTCTGCATGGATTGCCTAAGTAGACAGAAGAACATATTTTTGAAGATGGCTTCACTAAAATATGTTATTGAGGTGTAGAGCGGGAAAGAAAAAGAAAGGCTAGCAATGTCAGGGTTCTTGCAGTTTTTAAAGTCATATAATTTGTTCTTGTAAGCATATGATATTATATATAGAGTAGGATAATCATTTTGACCTTGCAGATTTAACTTTCATCAATATTTGATAGTTGGTACTTCTAGATTTTACAGATTTTAGGTATTATACATGGTAAATTAGAGCTTTAAGGCTTTAATTAAAGCTAATTTGTGGAACCTTTCCAAATTTAACCCAAACCAAGAAAATGAATTTCCAAAATGCATGGATTTGCCCCTCCTTAAACCTCCACCTTAAAGTGATGGAGGGCTTTTTGGACTATTGGATGATTGTAGAGCCTAAGTTGTCAGGGCATTAAACAGCTAATTAAAATCTAAAATTTTTAAATGGGTCTCTCTGATCATTGTATGGTTAAAAAAAAGTGTATTTTGGAGCTGAAATTAACTTTAGATCATTTTGAAACACGACACTTTAGACTGACTAAGTAACTCAGGCAAGTAGATAGATGTTTTTTCTGAAAATGGGCACTTACCTCGAACTCTTTGGAGAGTCGGGCTCATTGTACATGAAATATGTCTTTTGGAAACTGGTAAGTGGCTCCTTCTTATAAAGCGCTTTGGTCAAGTCAGGACACTTGACCAAAGCGCTTTACACTACATTCACCCATTCATGCAAACCTCATAGTGGCAGCTCCATTGTAGCCTCAGCTACCCTGGTGTTCACTGACAGAAGCAAGGCTGCTGTATATAGGCACCACCATCAGTAAGCAATGAGGATGAAGGGTCATGCCCCAGGACACAAATTCAGTTTGAACTGACAATCCTTTGGTTGCACGCCAAACTGCAGCATCGAATGTGTCTGTCTGATGCAGAATGGTTGCATTGGATGCAGACTAAAAGGGCTCTTAACCCTAAATAGGCTGTGAAAATGTGACAATGAGAAAAAATCTATCTGAAATTATCTGCATTAAAGTAGCCAGAGTTAAATAATTGTTTGCTATACTGTGGTTACATTAAATGGTTTTAAAACTATTTGGGGAATAAACCATAAACTGCAGCTAAATGACTGGTTTAGATCTGCAAAGGCTATGTTACTCTTAAAAGAATACCTATAGATTTTTTAAATAAATACAGACTGAAAATTCCAAACTACGACTTAAATATTTTTGTTGAAGTGTTGCACAAAAACCTAGAAAACCTAATTTTTAAAGATTTTAAAAGGTACTTCTTATTTAAAAGAAATGTGCCTGGTTCTTTATCATGATTGGCTGGACAGACTTTTTCAAGACCGACTGAACGGACTACAAATCCCAGTTTACTGCAGATCCCACACCTCTTGGATTGTTCTTCCACAAGGTAGTGCTTAGCTTTGAACGGGAAGGTAAAGGTTTTCTTTTTTTTGGTCCAAATATTGACCTAGAGTACATGCAATGCACACAACATATATTGAAAGACTACACATGCATGTCAGCTTAAACCCACCATCTCCTCAGTGATACAAGTTAATGGCAGCATCATGCTTCCATGGAAACAGAAAAACAATCCAGATTAAGTCAAATCTGGATTGTATTTCATGCTAGGTAAACCTGGAAGAAAACCTTTTAAATACTGCAAAACACCTGATATGAAAACAGGAGCTTCACCTTCTGGCAGGACAATGCCACATCTGCAGGAACAAGTAAGACTAAACCATTTTGCAAGAAAGATGGAGAAAACCTTTCCATTTTCAGATGTACACAGCTGATAAAGAAGACACACCTCAAAGGTTACAGCTATTGATGATAAAATAAGGTTCTACAAAGTACTGCTCAATCTACCTCTGAAATTAAATGTAATCAGTTTGTGTTGGCCTGTAATTAAGTTCTAATAAATAATTTTGAAATTAATATTTATATGACAAAATATAAAAATAAAAGTCTCTGATTTTGCAGGGCAGTCTGGTGAAACAATACATCTAGATTTTTATTGACTTGGAAATTCACTGCCTCTGCTCATAGCACAGGTCAAGTATGGTGTTTGCATGATTTACAGGCCGGTTTGGAAAGAACTCAGACAGAGGAAGGATTATCTGGGCCACATGATCTCACCTTGGTGGTTGGCTCCAGTTTCAAGGCCTGTTTTAGCACCTCCATGGCCTCTTTGTATTCGCCCTTATCTGACAGCAGCTGTAAGAGATGAAAAGATCTGCAGTGGGACTTCTGCTAGGATAACAATAAATCAAATACAGCAAGTAATAAAGCACCTGTTTTATTTTCTCCAAACATAATCTATCTTTTTACAAATTTAACAGATTGCCCCTTCTTTATTGTATACAGTGGTAATTCTTAGAGTGCTAGTACAGATCAGATGAAATGCTTTATGACATCTCTCAGGGATAACATGACCCTTACCTTTCCAGTCCTGAAAAGCGCCTTGACGTTGTTCGGTTGGAGGGTCAGGACGTCCCGGCTGGTATGCAGAGCCTCGCTGAACTGCTCCAGTTTGAGCTGAGCAGCAGCCAGGTTGTTCAGACACTTTATCCGATATTCCCTCACTTCTTCCTCTTCCTCCTTCATGCCAACATCATCGCCATCTGCACAGAAACAGGCACATAGCTTACAGCCCCCACCTGCACCTGGTACTGGATTTATTTAAATTTATCATAAAGAAGCTGCAATAATAATTTTGAGACGGACAGGGTTGTTTGTTTTTTGTGATTCCTATTAACAAAAATCATTTGAAGGAGAAATTCCCAGTGGGAGTCATTATGTTACCGGTTCATGTTCTGCCTTTTAATTTAACTGGATATTGTATTCATTCTTCTTTAGAAGCACCAGACCCAAATGTCTCTAACTGCATGAGGCATCAACCAAACTAATGAGGCCTTGTTAGCACAAAGGAATTATACCCTCCTCTTTGAAATGTTTGTCATAAAATTTAGCAGCTCACGAGCGGCATCTTTTCACCAAGTTACCGATTTTAGCCACTTGTTCTTGAGATGCTGTTTTTACGGGTGTTTTGGAATTTGAGGACCTAAGGAGGGTTTGGAGTTGACCTCTGGGCATTTTTAAGAAATTTATTTTAAACAGCTGTTTGTGTCCTGCCAAAAAAAACCCTGGCTGCAATGGATTTTCAAATTTCCTTTAAGGCAAATATTAAAGTTACTAAGAGTCAATAATAATTCACAGTAATATGTTTAAAATAACAGTTTCATAAATGATTTGTAACATGTTTGAAACATTAGGTATTAATGGGGCTGTATTTATGGTACTTATTTGACAAAGGGCTGCTCAATCTGTAGCACTGTCACCTTGCAGAAAGAAGGTCCTGGGTGTCATCCCAATGCATGTGTGGCTTTAATCCAGTTACCTCTGAAAGTCTAAAAACATAAGGTTTATTGGCATCTCTAGTTTGCCCTTAGGTGTTTTCCTGCATGATTGTGTGTTTGTATAGGCATACAAGTAAAATTTACTTGTGGTAAGTCAACGCCTTAGAGGTTTGATAAAAAACATGAGGGAACAAACAACATTAAGAAAACCTAGAATCAAAGAAGACAAATCAGGGAGAAGGCTGAACAGAAGATCATATCAGGGTTAGGTAATCCACTATTAGATATTTTGTTATCCTACAACAATAAATTAAAGTTAAAATAATTTAGATATTCTACTTCAATTGGTGTTAGTTTTGGAGCTAAACAAAAACTAGGAAAATGTGGTATTTGCTTCAAATAAAAGCAAAATCCTTTTTCATATATAAATGTCAACATTCGACAATGAGTATCAAAGTTAATCTCTCCTCAATTTGATTGAAATTTTACAAGGTTGTTTTCACATGTTAGTTTGCAAGTTAAAAACCCAAACCCAGAGCAATGCAAAAACCTTTGGTAAAACTAGCGGATTTGACTTTTTTTTTTTTTTACTCAACATGCAATTGAGATTGAAGACTTAGGATGTTGGCAAAATGTCTCATTAAGTAACACAGTAAACAGGTCAGGAATTATGTTTTAGGGGCATTCAAAGTCAAGTAAGATTATAAAACAATCAGTCACCTTTCTATTTGATTTAGCACTGTTAAGCCTGTCATAAGAAAACTACATTGCCATCCACCTTAACTATCTGACTGGTTATGGAGAGCATTGATCAACGAATCAGCAGAGAGGCCCAAGGTTACCTTGGAACAGCTGTAATAATCACTACTCAGGTGTGAGAATATGGTGGTAGGTTAGTTTCCTACTTTACAAATGTTGGCCTAAAGGGAAAGCAACAAAATGATATCTGTTACTTTAAGAAAGCTATAAAATCTGTTGTTTGCAGTTTGTCATGCAGGGGACAGAGCAAATATTCTTTATTCAAATGATATATTTAAACTGAGCTTAAGCTGTTATAGTTGATATATGAACAAAGAGCAAAGTCTTCACATATGCAAAGCTGTTAGAGACACTTGTTTAGACATAGCCTTTCTACAAAGTAGGAATGGGGTACATATAACTTATGTATGCCACATTACAGATTTTCATTTGCATACAAAAGAGTAAGAATCGTGTCACATTTTCCTCTGACGTTAGAGTTACGCAATACTTTGTGTTCCATCACACAGAAAACCGCTAAAAAACAGACATTGTACACAAAAAAATTTTAGGATAATGTCGCAAAGCAGTATACCTGTTTCTTTTTTTTTTCCTTATCATCCTTACCTGAAAGGGTCAGTCGGCGGTTTGTGCTTTTGTACTTGAAGTTCTATTTAAATCATCTGTACAGAATTAATATCTTGGAATTTCTCCTGTTTTACTCCTCATATTCTTCTCATTGACTAATTACATTATCTGGATGATCTGGATAAACGCCTTCTTTCATTGCCACATCAGATTTACAAAGCGGTCAGCCATTATTGATTCATTAGGAGGCAATCCATGTTTTCTCTTCATTGTCTCATTCAGCTACATTTCTCCCTTGGGCTTTCTCTGCCTTGTCGATGATTAAAGTGATTAAGGAGATGGAAATGAAGGGAAAGTTGATTGCTTTTGATCATGCAAAAGTATTAAGCAAAAGCGTTTATGGCAGCCTGCTGCACAGACGGATGTGGCCCTGCATGGAGAAGTTGTGATTAGTGGCGATGGTGGAGTATTCCTGTCAGATGATGTGTTATACCTGCTGTGTTTGTTGACATGACTGCGTTATAGCCAGGAGTATGGAAATGTTTGCAGTTTATAAATCAGTCCTACCTTTGGTGCGTGTGGTCAGCACGTCCAGGGCCACACAATAAGCTCTGGCAGCGAGGCTGAACTCCTCTCTCTGGAAGTGAAAGTTTCCTCGCTCTCTTTTCTGGTTGCCGATGCGGATGCGGTCAGTGATGGGCAGAGTTAACGGGTCTGGTTTGTCTCTGATGTCCAGCAGCTGTAATTGGTAGAGTAATGGAGCCCACGCAGGGATCTCAGGCTCTCTGCGCAAAAATAAACACATTGATTACAAGTACATTTTAATTTTTACAAAGTTACACTCTTCTTAGATACTATATATATATATATATATATATATATATATATA